CTCCCCCTCCCTCCCTCCTCTCTGCTTCTCCCGCCATTTTTTCAAGTTTCAGTTATCCGTAGTGTGCTTTTAGCTCAACTTGCCTCCAGTACAACATCTCACTACATCATTGAAATAGTTAACTAAATTCTGTATATTTTAAATATTACTTCAGTGTATCAGTTGGTTAGTTCCAGTACTGAATCTTGCGGGTGAAGGCCCCAACCTCGGTTTTCAAATGATCTGAGATGCGCCGGCATTTCCGTCGGCTCCGACTGCCGCGACCATGACGAGCGCGGGGGAGGAGGAGGAGGAGGACGGCGAGGAGAAGGAGGACGGGGAAGGGGAGGGGAGACAAAACCTGTGGGGTTCCGCCGAGGGAGCGAATCGACTCAGCAACTTCAATCGTTCGGAGAGAGTCTTCTCCGAGCTCCCAGAAGTAGATGGAGTACGCCTGCGAGGAGTGAGAGGAGGGAAGCAATTGTGAGAGTGAAGTGACAAAGTCGATGAACACTGAGGAGTAGGACGAGGAGGAGTAGAAGAGAAGGAGGACGAGGAGCAGGAAGACCTAGAGCAGGAAGACGAGAATGAGGAGATTGAGGAGTAGGAGTAGGAGTGCGGCAAACAAACCTTCTCCATGAGTTGCAGGGCTCGCTGATTATCCTGCGCATAGGCGTACAGGAGTGAGACGGTAAATAGTGCTTCTCCTGTGGTTATGTGATCCGGGCCCATGGTCTCTTCCCGCAACGCCACGATCTGAGAAGAAGTATGAGAGGGGGAGAGAAGAGGATGTCAGGGAGAGAGAAGGAGGCGGAGGGAGGAGGGAAGGAGGCGGAGGGAGGAGGGAAGGTAGGATCTCAGTGAGGAAGAGGAGGACAAAGTGAAGGGAGGGAAAGTTGTGAAGAGAGGAGGGGAGGGGAGGGCGACAGAGAGTGATGAGGCTCATGACCTTAGTGAGAGTTTGCAGCCCATCCATCAACTGACTCTCTACGAGCTGCTCTGGTGGCTCGGCTCCTTCCTGCACCTGCAACGGACTCAGCAACCTGCCGCTCCTTGTCCTCCTTGTCCTCCCGCTCCTCCTCCTTCACTGCTACTACAGTCCTCTACCCTATCTGCTATTCCTCATCATGCTCCTCCTCTTGCCTTGCTGGGATCCAGCAGACCCCTGACGTGCTTCAACCAGATCTCCACCACCTACAACAGCAGCAGCTCAGCTTGCCGAGGAGCAAGAAGAGTGAGCGGGCGCTGAGAACGAGCAGAGAGGAGGACGAGCCAAGAGTGGGAGGGGGCGAAGAGGAAAGGGGGAGAGGGAAGAGCAAGCTACCTTGTCGCACATGGCAAGCGCACAGTCGATCCTCTTCTGCTCGGCAGGACGTCAGCTGCTATTCTTGTTGCCTTCGAGCTCGAGGAGGAGAGATGATAAGGAAGACCATGAAAGGAGGAGAAGGTGGGGCAGAGCGGAGGCCGCGAGGAAGACGGTAAGGAGGAGGCGAGGAGGAGGAGATGGAGGAGGAGGTGGTGGTGGAGGAGGCGAGGAGGAGGAGATGGAGGAGGAGGAGGCGGAAGTGGAAGAGGAGAAGAACAGTGACCAGAAGCACAAGTGAAGGGAGTAGCAGTAGTGGGCATCATCTGTAGACTGCAGGAGGGGGAGGGAGGAGGAGGACGAACCTGGAGGTAGAAGACCGTGGCCAGGAAGTAGTACCCCCCCGCTGTCTCCATATGCTCTGGTCCAACTTGCAGGGAGGAGAAGTAAACATCATTGGCAAGCTGTCGCAGCGCCTCGTCATGCTTCCCCTGCCAGTCCACGTGATGAGACAAGCCGGCGAGAGGGTTCGAGGAAGAGAGGAGAAGGAGGAGTGAAGTGAACAGATGAGGAAGCGTGAGGAGGACAAAAGGGATACGAAGTAAGAGCTGGAGCTGGAGCTGGAGCTGGAGCTGGAGCTGGAGGAGGAGGAGGAGGAGGAGGAGGAGGAGGAGGAGGAGGAGGAGGAGGAGGAGGAGGAGGAGGAGGACGAGACCGTAACGACCTCTCC